AGGTCAGAGACAGTGTTTGTTTAGTGATTCCGGTGTCACCAGGAGCATGTAGAACTCCCCGAGTTCAGGACGTTTCTCTGCTCCAGCAGCTGCCTGCGTGCTGGGAGCGTGTGTGTGCAGCGGTGGGCAGCCTGACAAAGCAGTGGTCATGTGCAGCTCTGCAGCGTAGCCTGGGGCTGGCTGGCGTTTGAGAAGGTGGTGTGGTCTGACGAGTCTGCGGGTTCCAGCATCTGCTTGCTTTTTGTTAAGCTGGAGGCCAGTGCTGCTCGATGTGGAAGCGTAGTACTTGCTGAAACGTTTTTCTTTTTCCTTAGCTGACTGGTGTTTTGCAGGGGTTTAGCTCGTGCTAAATAACCAGTCCTCTGTTAAAGTTTAGGAACTGCTCTGCTACTTTGCTTGAGCTCAGTGTATGCATGCTGCAACTTCGTATTTTTCAGTAGCATTTTCTTTTTTTTTTTTCTTTGAGATTTGTAATACTCCATTAGATATGAGCATGCCTTCTCCAGATGTCTGGTGATTTGAACTCTTTGCTGATCAGATGTGGCTTACAGGAATCATGCAGATATGTAGGTTTTTGGTTTGCCTTCTTTTTTTTTTTTTTTTTTGTGCTAGTAGCTATCTTCAGATGGCAGCAACTGAGAACTATTGGAGTTCTATATAGCCTTTGCATATGCCTTTTGCACAGGTCTTCTGCTAAGAACTTGCAAGTTATACAATTAGCTTAAATAACTTCTACCTGAGAAGATTTAATAGATAATCACCCTGGTGAAGCTGAATTTCTTCTTCATGCCATAGCAGACTTCTCTTTTGGGTAGAAGGGAGAGATAACAACTTTGAGGCATTCTGAGACTCAGATTCTGTGGGTTGGGTGTGTAGGAATGAGTTTGTTACGATTCTTGTTTGAAGCACTGGGAAAAATGCTTCCCTGCAACCGGGTGTGATCGGGGTGCAAACAGTCATTTAAGAAAATCCTGGATGAAGTGCTACTCAAAGCACTCAGAGAAATGTTACGTGGAATGTTTTGGCAAAAGGTACAACTTCAGAAAGTATGTGTCCTTCCTGTCAGATGTAGAACAAGCCTGTTTTGGATGTCAATATAGAACAATGGTTCTCATCTCCTCTGTTTGGTTTAGGCTTCTGTTAAACTGTGGCCATGATAACACCAGCTTTATAGTACCAAACCCCAGTCTGATTGTCTAAGTAGTCCAAATTCCACTGCCGTTCAGCACGGCGTAAATGAATGGGAGGTAGGCAGCACGATGAAAGTGGAATTCAGTAGAGTAGAGCACTGCTCTTCGTACTCGTTAATCAGCAGGACGTGCTCATTTTTGGATCTTTCCTCAGGAAATGTTAGTCTGCTGATCATAAACTTGCTTCTAGTTATTACTCTTTGTATGACCTCTGAGAACAGACCACAGTTCAGAAGCTAACAGTTTGAGAGTTTGCTGAGGGCTGGAGGAAGGAGGGGACAAAAACCCTACCCCGTACTGCTACAAGAAGCGTACCGAGCCTTGGGGTGACTGCAACGTGCTTCATCAAGTACTCAAGGAGAGCTTTGAGACAAGTAGTCAAGGTGGATGGTGCTAAATTGTCTGCTGAGAAAAGATCCTAGTTAGGGTTAAAAACGTGATGAACGGGTAAAACACTGTTATGTTACCTGACACTCAAGATGACTGTTCCAAGATCTTGCTGTCTTTGTTTGTCCTAGGTGTGGGCAAGAGCAGTTTGCTGTTGCGTTTTGCAGATAATACGTTCTCAGGTGAGTGGTTTGTTTACTTCAGTGAGTGACATGGTCAGTGCCTGCTGCGGTGCCGCTGCTTGGCAGGGAGTTGTTCTTCTGCATTTACCCACTGATAGCTGTACTGGAAATACAGTGTGTTTCTGACTGTGCTGGTCTTGGTGTCAGCCTATCCAAGCCATCCTGGCTGATCTTCACTTGCAACTGAAAGTACCACAGTATTTAAATACTGGCATGGTTCCAGAAATAGCTTTGCTTTTTCAGCTTATGCTGTAGTCTGCGCAGACTTCCCGTTGGCCATTTGGGATTTAGATCGATTGAATATTGTGGCTAAACCACTTACGTTTGTGACATAATTAATTTATTGGGAGGAAACTCTTGGAACAGACTGTGTTCAAAGTGAGTGATTGCACGAGCATTTAAAGCAAAGCTTTGTCTCAAAATTTTCACAAATGAAATACTTGCATAATTACTCTCCATTTCTTGAGATATTTGGGTGCTTGACCACCAATGCAGTAGAAGAATAGTTTTATCTTGTAAGCCTGAGTTCTAAATTTTAAGAGTGGCATGGGAGAAAGGGCTTTATGGCTAGAAAAAAGCTGTTAGCTGCAGATGAAAATGTGCAGATTAGCATGAGTTGACAGGGCATTTGAAATGATAAGCAAACAGGGAGAACCTTGAACTCCGGCCCAGTCTGAGAACTACTGCTAAGCAGTGTTGAGAAGTGGGCTTCGGGACATCCAAAATAGACAGGACTTAGGTTCTGACTTACCTGTGCCTTCCCTTCAGGCAGCTACATTACCACAATTGGAGTGGATTTCAAAATCCGGACAGTTGAGATCAATGGAGAGAAGGTGAAGTTACAGATCTGGGACACAGCTGGACAGGAGCGCTTCCGGACCATTACGTCAACGTGAGTATGACTGGGCTTAGTGATGTGTAGCTTGGCGTATGGATCCTGTAGTTCAGAGTTACCCTTTCCATATTTTAATGTTGCAGTTGATAAGCTAACGATAGCTTTGCTGGCTGCACGGTGGGACTTCTCTCAGCTGTTTTCCAGCTGATAGCAGTGGTGATATTGTGGCTGCGTTTGAAACTGGGATTTCATATTTCCTGACGGTTCTGTGCATTTCCATGACGGCTCTGTCTTATTTCTCTGCTGCTTCTTTCCAAAAGGTAGAACTGGAGTTGTTTCACTGTTCTACATATAGTAGAAAACTTGTCTCTGAAGCCTCTCCAAGAAGGTCATCCTCTGATTGAACGTATTGCAGAAGTACAGAGTGCAAACCCTCTGTCAGTGTCATGTAACTAATTAATAGCTTTGAGATCGAAGAGTAGGATTTCCGATATTTAGTTTTCTTTTAGGACAAATGCATTTTCGCGGCTGTCTTTGTGTGGGGCTCTGTTGAAGCAGACGCCCACGTGAAGTTAACCTTTTCCTTGATTCGAGTTCAGTTTCATGCTCATTGTCCTTTTGAACAGCGTGTGCACAGCTTTTCCTGTTCGTGGAGAAACCACACCCAGAGCTGCGGCGGTGGGAACTAAGAATAAAATGTGTTTGTAAACTGGTTGCTGTAAAGGTGGAACTGCTTACTGTGGCACTAGAGGGAGAGGGAAAAATACACATGGAAATGGAACTTTTGTTTCCTTTGGGTAGTAAAAAAAAAAAAATACAATTCTTGAAAGATCTAGGTGTTCCACTTGGTCTTTCCTGACTGGCTTCTCTTGTGGCTCCCATTTGAGAGGAGGATTGTTTTCAGCTGGCGTATGGGTTAATTTACTCAGGCTTAAAACCAGGGAGATTGGTTGCGTGTGCGTTGCGTCTCAACAGCTAGAAATGGCAAAACTGAACCTGATGCGTGCGCCGCCCCTTTCCTCTGCACTTCTGTACGGATATTACTGGATTACTTCCATTGTTTCTGAAGTGTTTAGCTTGGAAAAAACTCGGTTGCCTCTCGTAGGGTTCCGGTGTGTGACATCACTTCTCGTTTCGGCGCCGTGGGCAGCTTGGGGCAGGAAGTGGCGAGGGGGAGGCAGCCCTGCTGCGGCTCCCGTCAGCTGTGTGCACGGGCGAGTCAGAGTGCCCAATTAGTGCTGAGTCAGCAAATGGCCTTCCTGTTTCCAGAATCCCTGACACGACGCGGAGCTGCGTTAATGAGCGGTGGGTCATGGGGCTGATGCCAGCTAGTTCAGAAAGCCATGGTATCCGGCGCTGAACAGGGAATACCAGGAAAGGAGGCTTCCTTTTGTGAATGGGAATAGCTGCAGATGGGACTCTGCATAGTGTTTTATGTAAATTTTTTTCTTCTATTAACATTTAAAATGGAGAAGCTGAAATGATTTGAAGGCGTTTGTGCCATGAACTGTTAGACCTCTGCTACTACTTCCTTTTGCATCGCTTTTTACCAAAATGAGGTATATTTTACTCTTGGGGAAGTGAAGGCCCTCATTTTCCTGCCTTAACTCTGGTAAAGTAGTTACAGAATCTTCCATGCTCAGGGAAGAAAGACTTGAATTTTGTGCAACTTTAAGCAAAGAAGGTCCTGTGTCTGAGTGCGTTTGAAGTGTTGAGGAAAACACTGGGATTGCTGGTTACATGGTCATGAGGACTCCCCTTACCCAGTTGGCTAGCTGTGACTGTCCAGTGCTCTGGACCTAAGCATACTGCGTATAAAAATAAGGAGATAACAAGATTCAGATTTTACAAACAGTTGCATCTTTTTTTTTTTATTGGCAAAGTAATACTGTAGCTAATTTGCTTATCCCAAACTGAGTGACAAACTGAGTTACCATGCTAGTACTTATGAAAGGGCTTGGCTCCCAGATCATGGGTGGAGCACAAGTGTGCTGTCAACAGTATAGTAGTCTTTGTCTAGTCTTTGACTAGATTGAGGTTAAGAATATAAAAGGGTGTTCCTCCAGTGTTACTGCAGGTCAGGAAGTGCCTTTACAGTTAAAGGTAGAGCTCAGATCGATGCTGAGCCGAGCCTGGCAAGGAAGTCTGAAATTAGAGCCCATCTGGTAATAATAGGAGTAGGTTGGAAGTACTGCTGTGTAGACCTAGAAATGCAAAATGGTAGCGGTGGTAGGAAGTTAATAGTAGAAAACTGGGAAACACTGAAAGGTTATATACTATTTTGGTTTTACTTGACTACAGCTACAGAAGCTGGAGAACAGAATAAAACTGTTAAGGTACAGAAATCAAGTTGATTGGGAGTATTCTACAGAAACTCAGGAAAAATAAACTAGATCAGAATTTCAGACTGGGAAGTATAAAAGGCAGCGACTGTTTTTACTGTCTATTAGATGTGGAAATACTGGGATAACTGGTGCCTAGTGGGAGGAGAGACCAAGTTGTATGAATTTGGTTGGCATGGAACATCATCCAAACTCTGAATTTGATTTAAATTCACCAGAGATGTAGCATGCCAGGACTCAGCCATATTAGCAGGAACACTTAAGATGCATGAACAACCAATTTCTGCACTCGATTTGCTCTTGTAGATAGGACTACTTTGTCCTGATTCAGGACTGTGGTTTTAGGATTTAAGCTTTAAATAATAGTTGTCAGATGGTAGCTCGGGATGAGTAGCGATAGCAGAGGTACCTTCTGCCATGCATTTGTGTGGAATGACATGTTCAAGAGAGGGATAAGCTTTTTGAGATGGTAGAATTGCTGTGACTTGTAAACCAGGTACGATGGTTGAAAAACTAGTCAACGGACCTGTGACAATAGATGTGCTTCCAGGAACCTAAAAAAAAAATGAGTATGAAAACGGACTATTAGAAGTGTCTGGAATTGGTTAGAATTCTAGAGGACTGAAAAACAAGGAAACATATACTACATATATGTTATATATATGTATACATATAAATATACATATAAACGTATACTGCAAATTGGTGAAATATTAGGAAAGATGTTGGATTTAACCAACAACCTATCTTTCAAGTTGGCCGGTTACTTTTTTTTTTTACTGGAAAAATGAACATATATGCCCTACTGGACTGATGCAGTCAATAATACTCTCTCTTCTAAATCTCACTTAGCTACCGTCATGCTTCATGAAACTAGTTATTGTAACTCCAGATGCTGATCTTGGGAATCATTTACCAGAGGAACACTGAAAACTTTCTTATTGGTATCTTGTAGTAGGGAGTACCACAGTGAATGGCAAAACGTTCCCTTCTGCGTGGAAAGGTCATGGTCAGCGATGTGAGGGGAGAATGCAGGTGGCTGAAGGACACAATGAGTGTGGTTAACCGCTTCTGAAGATCTTCTGTATCAAGTCTGTGATATTAGTAGGTAACGTTCCAAAGGCAGTCAGCTTATGTCTTTAGGAAGCCGTTTCCACACCAGAGCTAAATGTAAAGCCTTTAGATGTAGGTCACTTTTCTAACCTTACGGAAGATGCTTGGCTACTACCAAGCATCCAAGGGCATATACAGGTCAGGCTCGGTTGTCTTTCACCTCAACGGGATACTTTCATGGACACTCTAAATATGAATAACCGTTCTATAACTTTTTTTCCCTGTATTTCATGGATGTATTTATCACTAGGGGTAGCAGCAGGCTTTTGGGGTTTGTAGGGTACATGACAGAGCATACCTACGGTACAGAGGACAGCTAGCATCAGTCATTTAGCCCTCGAAAGGGAGGCTGAAATTGAGAACTTCATTTCTCTTCTGCTGTCATTTCCATGATCTCCATCTTCCCTAAAATGTGGATGAAGAAGATAAGGCATTCTT